TTCGGCGTTCGTCCGCCAAAACGCAAGCCGACCGGCGTTTTCCGCCGCGGATGAAAACGCGGCGTATTACATCCGTCGTGTATAGCTACTCCGATATAAACCAATGCATTTTGAATTCGACGGAAAACGCCGCGGAATACGCCGCGTTCGAAACGCGGCGGAATAGCCACGGCCATTACGGTATACGTTTATATAGCCCCGGCCTAACTCTTGCCATGTTCAGCTGTTTACCGTTTACCCGCATAATAATTGATTTATTCAACTTGCTCTTCAATCTTTCTATAAATAGATTATTATATGTTAATTTTTATTTTGAATCGATATACATTATTTTGCAACAGAGAGACCGCGACAGTCCACTTATAAACTGTCATTTCGATAATAGCGACATTTTTCACATTATTCAAAACCCGTATTTTGCTGTATCACACTTATTTACACAATATTTATAATATGACGGATATATAAATTATCATAGCTAAGTACATAATTATATAATCACCTCGTATTGAATATACATTGTCCAGGTAGGTCACTGATTTAAATATGTACAATTGTACAAATGTATTAGTATAAAAAAAGTGATATTGTCGTGCAGTGTACTAAATGATATTTAAATAAGATCGTAGTTTCAGATTATAATATAGGCAGGTACCTATCTACACTTCGTATAATATGTAATGTAAAATAATCGGAATTGACTGTACCTACCTACTCGGGTTGTTTTACTCGATCCGCGATCGTATTATACTAATCTGTTCGGAAAATGTTTTAATGAAAATATAAATTGTATCGACATAACATATTTAGTATAAAGACTGTGCCAAAATATTCAATTTCATAAAAATTTGAACAAGAAATAGCCATAAAAATATTGGGTACTTTTTTCTTTCTTTTTGTTATTAGCTTCAAGAGTAACTATGATAGCTCAAAAATTATCTAAAAAATATAATAAAGATATAAATTACAAAATAATATTCGTGAAATTTTGTGATTTAGATGGTAATAAAGGAGTGTTAGATAAAATAATAATGGATAAAAAACCCATTAAAATGTACAGTTACAGACAACGTATTCGACAGTTTAAATTATTATAATATAGTTAATAGTGTGTATTTATGCAGGTATTTTAGACACTTTAAAATTTTTGAAAAAATAACTTACGTGGGATCTTGTATTTAATTTCACAGCTTTTTGCTTTTAGTAAAATTTTAACTCTCAATAGTACCAACTAAATTCGATTCTCTACATAAAATTGCATTAAATGTTCAAGACTGAAACATTTTTTATATTAGGTACCTACCCAAATTTTTTAAAGCAAATGTATACAGATGACATAGGTATAATAAATTTAAAATTAAAATACATATTCATCACTCTGAACAGTATAGTATAAATGAAAACCTTCAGTCTTGTTATGAAACATTTTCTATTTAAAATAAGGCAAAGTTTAAATTTATGATATAGGTAGAACAATGATAGTAAGTTGATAGTTATGACAAAATAATATTTAACAGGTATTAACTAATAATTAATAACTCATCAAAAATATCGTCGTAATAATAATAAATATTATATAGCTAGGTACTGAAATAATCAATCTTAGGACAAGATGATAGTGATTTAATAAACTATTTTTGTAAATTATAGGTAATAACAATAAGTAATAACTAATAAAAGAATACAATTGCAAAAAAGTATCGGACTGTTAGTATTTTATTAACAAAATGAATTATTTCAGTATTGTATAGTTCTTACATTACTGTAAATAGTATACTGCACTTTTTTCAATAGAAATAAATAAAAACAATTTTAACAGTGTGATTGAAGTGATTATAATTTTTATAACTGACATTTGTTTTGGGACGGCGATAATAGGTAGATATACTAAATAGTAGAGGCAATTAGGTTAGAAATTTGCTACAAAAGTCCAAAATGTTTTATAAAAAAAAATTAAAAATTAAATAATAAATGTTTATACCACATCGTCATACATAGATAAGTACTTAACTTAAGTTATGATAGAGATTTTAGTTAAGTTTCTCCTATATATAGCAAACTATTAGCCCCCCCCCCAACGCAAAACTATGTCAGACGCTAGTAACATCCGTAAACACGCGCGCCCAGTCAGGGAAATTGAAAACACCAACTATTGGTCGTTCGAATTAAATATTAATGCAATGAGCAAACGTAGTCAATATATATATTCCTTGAAAATATTGCAATACTAAAATCTGTCGTATCCATCGATGAGTGTGACGTGTCGCTATAGAACACAAAAGAATTTTCTCGCAACAACGGGCACCTAGCGACCGCCGATGGTTGGGATCTAAATTCATTATTTTTACGACCGTTGTAACGTCAACACACGCATTCTAAACATTAATAATTTCGTTATATATTTTTTTTCGTACTAATTGTTACGTTTTGATTTCCATTATACATTTTCTTTTYGTATCTATTTTATTACAAAATCAAACAAAATGGTGAGTAATTTTTTCATTCTACCATAATAATACGTTTTTATTCAAACCATATTATAATTGTTATTATAAMTGTCACTAATTATTTTTATGAATTTTTGTTTCCTAGTTGTGAATTTGTTTTTATAATTACACTTCTATTCATTTCATCTAATTACTAATTTAAATATAACATTCATAATGTATTAAATAAATAAATGTACTCATTATAACAAATAACACAATAAATTGAATATAACACGTTTAATATTAAGTACAATAAAAAATGCTTTCACTCATAATATTTATTAATTAATTATTTACATTTCTGGAGAAACAAAATCTGCTTGACTTCATTTTATGTTTATAATTTTATATATTTAACTAATACAGCCCCTTTTATACTACTACTATTAATATTTTTACCKATTGAATAAATAAATAAAAAGCTTAATAACTATGTTTTTAATTATCTATTTATTAATATACATTTTTGTAAAAGACAATTATATAATTTTTATTTTTATTGTTAGATAGCATGTATTTTAATTCATTCAATTTTATTTTTTTTTTCTCGATAATATGTTAATCACAATAATTAATAGTTTTCCATCTGAAACAAATTAAGGTATGATCGAATTTGGAAATTTATTTTTTAAATATAGTTGGTTTTACACTGTTACATATTGTACAATCAGTTTAAATAATTTTAATTTTCTCTTAAATTTATTTTATGAGCATGGTCAACTAATACAAATAATTATTCAAACATATCAAATATTTTTTTTTCTCCTTATAATTTAAATTATTTTACTATAAAGTAGAATAAAAATATAAATCAATAGTTTCACTCAAAATCTGAATTTATATCAGTTAATATTTGTTTCGCAATAATAAATAATGCTCGTGTTTAAAATTATAAAGTTTCTCACAATATTCAATTTAAGTTATAACCAGGTCATTAATTAATGTCATTGTTTAAGCATTAAACAATTTTATCATTAAGATACATTTATAAATAGTTTATACTAAAGAAAATTCCGTGCTTTATTTAAATTAAATAAATCGATCAAGTAAATCTTCAATTAGATTATTTTTAAATATCACGATTAATTATTTTACTTAAGATTTTAAATAATAAATATTATTTAGTGTATTATTTTTTACGCTTCACGGAAAAACAATTTGTATTGAAAATATCTTAAAAGGTCATAAGATATTTTCAAGATTAATTAACGTTGTTGTATTTTATTTCAATCAAATTAATTATTAGTATTTCTCAACACTTCAATATTTGTCAAAATGTATGTTAAATTTATGTTTATATCATTAGGATTCAACAATTTTACATTCAAGTCGTAGGTATTTAAAATGTCATATTCTCTCGATACAACGGCATGTGTTTTAAATTATTAAAAATATAAATTAACTCCGTATAACGCTATTGGCTGTTAATAATCAGTCTATAGTAWGCTTTTAAAAACCGTTGTATATTTCCTTGACAACCGTATTTGTTTCGTATTAAGTGTTTTAATTAATCTCGCGAACGTTTCTGTATTATTCATTTAGTCGTTTCGTTGTTAAATTGAATTTATTATAAAGTTTATTTCAATAATGGTAAGTACAACACAATATCATCTTAATTTAATCAATTAATATGTACATAACATCGTAAAATGGTAAAACAGTTAGGTGTAATATATTATATATTTATATCGGTATTAACTGGTAGATGTACCATTTATTAAATGTAATAGGTAGACGGCGGCGCGACGACTGTAACGCAAAGCTGTCGGCTGCCTGGGTTTACGGAATCAGCTAAAATATTATTATTATTTATTACAATAATTACATCGCTTACTAATAATAATCAACGTAAAATTCGTTTTGTTTTCGCGACACTAATACTTTACCCGAGTACTATTGAAAACGAAACAAATCGCGTGGTATCATGAATGATAGGTGCTCATGAAAAATGTAATTTCATATTTTTTTTTTCAGCGTGAATGTATATCCGTACACGTAGGACAAGCTGGAGTTCAAATCGGCAACGCGTGCTGGGAATTGTACTGTCTGGAACATGGTATCCAACCGGACGGACAGATGCCGTCCGACAAGTCTGTGGGCAGCGGAGACGATAGCTTTAAYACCTTTTTCAGCGAAACCGGCGCGGGAAAACACGTACCCCGGGCCGTGTTCATTGATCTCGAACCGACCGTCGTTGGTAAGTGCATATTTTTTCGCTAAAATTATTTCCGTTTA